AAGAGCATAAGTACGAACCCATGCAGAGCAATCCCAGGCTGCATGTCAGAAAATGCAATCTAAAAAGCTATTGATATTCAAAATTCAAAGCTTGTTCACATAAACTGACAAAAATAATGTTTAACATAGGCTCCATACCCAGCGAACTAGAGTCATCTTTGAAATTGGACATTTGGAGAATATTTCCTCTATGTGAGTAGTTCAAGAGCTCCTCTCGAAATGTAGGGTCTCCCTCTCTCAATGTCCTATGAATGACTATCAACGTCTTTATCGCAACCTGCATAAAGACACCCAAATTTCAGGACCCAAGTTCCATCTATTATCTGTGGGAAATTTTTACATTGATGAACACGACAATGCTTAGATCAAAACTCATTTATACAAGTTCAAATGAGAGAGAGAGCAAAATTAATCAAAGAAATTTAAAACAATAACTACATGGCCTAACAAAATAACAATAATTAATCAAAATTAAGAAATTTAGAAGAGAGAGAGAGAGCAACATTACAATCCAATCCTGCGTCTTGGCTAATCTCTTACAAAGTGCATGAATGCAGTACGCCACATCTACTCGAGGTCTTATTACTGACGTTGCGGAAAATATTTCTGTAAGTCACCAGAAAAAACAAAGAAAACAAAAAACTAACATCATCAAATCTACGTCCTAAAAAATTCGAAACCATGAATCACAAAATAAACCCATTTCCACGTTTCAATAACCCATTCAAAAGCACAATCACAGATCAAAATCTTAAACACCCCACATCAAAATATAAACTTACTTCTAACATGACGTTCCTTAGGAGGGCATTCAACATGATTGGTAGCCTTTACAATGGCAATATCCAATTCCTTCCATTCAAAATCCAAAAAGAAAAGGAAAAGAAAGAAACATTCCATCATTAAAAATCATCAAACGAAAAGAAACCGTTACGCAAAAATTGATGAAGAATAAAAAAATCTCACCTTGTATTCACTATTGACCTTTGCAAGGCCAACTTTTGTTGTATCCTTGAGAGCCCCATAAGCTTTTCTAAAACTTGTGAACGTTGCCATTTATCAAAACTTATATACTATAAATTCTTAATTTTTATTTTTATTTTTTTAAGATTACAAACAGACACGAAAAGGAGAGAAAGAGAACCAGAAAAAATCCCAAAAAAAAAAAAAAACAGAGAGACCTGTCTGTTGCTTTCTCTGTTAATCTCCAAAATGCAGGAAAACGGGCTTGTTTGGTGATTTGGACAAACTGTCCGATGATTAGATTTCTAATAATTAATAATAATTCAGGAATTTGATCATTTTATGGTGGGGTGATTCTTTTTTAGTTTTTTATTTTCCTTTTTGTGAGAATAGAAAAAGGCGGGTGATGTTTTCTTTTCTCGTGAAATTACATAAATGACCATTATTGTTTGAATTTTGGGGTTTTAAGGTATGGTCTGTTTGGTCATTAAGTTGGTCCAACGTGGGGAACTGTACTTGGATAAGCTGGCAATGCCCGCCTGGTGTTCCCAAGGTACTAACTACTAACTTCCAACCAACCAGAGGTTCCAATTTTGATAAATATATATATAAATTGAATTGAAATACCCAAATACCATGATGGGGTTTGACTTTTTGTCCATAATTGTTTACTCATTTTTATTTGTAAAGAGTTGAGTTCAAGGGGGGTATTCTGTTTGTTGCCTAAGAAAGTCTAAGAAATGGAATCATGAGAATGTATCTTTAATGTGGCGTTAGAAAAGACAGGTGGTGTTCTTTTCCTGTGCAATTTAATCATTTTGCGGCAATTTCAGGATTTCTAATCTTTTTGTTTGTTATTTTAACGATTTTTCATTGTAAATTCATCATTTTTTATTATTTTTTAACATGAAAAATATAAAAATTTCTAAAAAAATTATGTTATTTATGCTACTCCACCAATTCTTAATCCTTTCATAATTTTTAATCTTATAATTTATTATTTTAAAAAGTTTTTATTGTAATTTATTTTGATTTTTGTTTCGATCATTTATATGTAATTCGGTCATTTCATGATTTTTATTCATCATTTTCGTGTTAATAAGTTTGCAAAGCTTGTGATATAAAAAAGAAAAGGGATTTTGAAAAACATAACAAATGAGGCATTAGATGGAATAGGAACACAAAATTGCCTGATCGAGGGTTGATCTTGATTATACATTTATTTTACTAGCTTTGTAGGTTTTTTTATGTTTTCTCTGCTGATAAAGGGTGTTTTCATGTAAGAATTCGCTAATTCAAATTAGATTTTGAAGTAGATCCTTCACATCTAAATTCATTTATCTACAAGCATATATTTTATTGTGGTGTTCTCTGAAATTAAAATTTTAATATGAAATAGTACACACACACATGTGTGTGTGTGTGAAGTACCCAAATCCCATTTAGGGAATCGTGAATTTTGCCACATTTTCTAATCTTCTTTTACAATAAACAAAGTTTAGATATAGCTATTACTAAAAAAAAAAGTTAACAAAAATGTTTTAATTATAGGAAATTATTTGTTATTATTTGTTATTATCATTAAACTTAATTTAATTTAATGAATCAATTTTAAATTTTCATCTTTTGACTTATTATTTATTTTAAATTTAAAATAAAATTATATAAAAGTTGTTTTAATATAACTCAGTCAATTTGACGTGTCCAAAAATAACACGGATGTATAACTTGATTTTTAAAAAAATAATCAAAATATTTTTTTTTAATATTAAAAAGATGATATATTAAATCAACTTAGATTTCACGGCTTAGCTCATCGATCCGAGTAATGAACTTCGTTGGTTTCATTACTTTGTTTTTTTTTTTTAATATTTTTTATTTAATTATACAATACTAAAAATATATGTTTTTAAAATCAAGCATAAATTAATTGTTAGGATTTTTTTTTGAAATTAAATTTTTTTTATAGAAATTAAATTAAATTAATTTATAAATTTAAATTTATAATAAAATAAATATTGAAAGATTAAACTTAGAAAATAAAAACAAAAATGAAAGGAAAAAAAAGGGGGGGAAGTATAATAATTTTTTTTTTATTCAATGGTAGATGTAATCCTTAAATAAGTCTCCAATTATATAGTAATTCTTTATAGAATCCCAAAGAATATTTTTATACCAATCGGATGCCTCAAAGTTCAGAAAATTCTAAATTGAGTCCTCTGCCCACATTCCTCCATGAATGATGGCTATGCATGAAAATTAAAGCGGTTTTGTGCGGATCTTGGTGTTCTTTGTAAAAAATTACTGAAAACTTTTAGATACGAAACTCAAATTAAAATTCTAAGAAATCCAATTGAGACAAAATATTATGGTGGAACCAACCAATTTGAGAAATAACCGGTCATGAGTCAAACCTTTTTTTTTTCTATAAAAAAAATAGAAGTTGTTAAAAAATGAAAATAGTTTTTTTAAAAAAAAATTCAAAAGTCGAGTGATTAACTTAACTAAAGTTAATAAACTTGTTTAACTTAATAATATGATAAAAAATAAACAACAATAATAAAAAATTAAATAAAAAAATAATCTGAAATAATCTAAGTTAATCAAATAAATATCTTATCTATGACTTATGTGTGTTTCATAACCTTAATTATTACACAATATCAATTTATCTTTATTCAAATAGGTGACTTTAATTCATATCCATGATTTTAGTCTTTGTTTAAATGGCTGACTAAGTATTATATTTATATCCTTTACACTATTAATATAATTGAGTAAGTATCTTAACTACAGTCTTAGTCGTAGCAGCACGATTAGTCAAGTATCTTATCCATAATTATAATTATTAATAATATAGTTAACTAAGTATTTTATTTATAATGTTAATCTTATTAATATAATTAAATAAATAATTTATTCATAATTTTAGTTTTGTCAACTCAATCAATTAAATATCTTATTCATAATCATAGTCATCATTCAAATAGCTAACTAAGAAGGGATGGAAATCTTGTGGTGTTTTAGGTGTGTTTTGCTGTAGAAAAAGAAAAGGTGATTGCTTAAAGCGAGGGGAGAAGAGTTACAACTGATTATGAAAAGAGAAATGAGGAATATAAATAGAAAAATGAAAAGAAAGAAGCTTTGAAATTTAATTTTGTTTGGAATCACAAATGACATATAAATCACATATTATAAATGTAACATTTGTAATATGTAAATTATAGATATTATTTGTGACTCGCATGTTATATCTCTAAATATTTTTTTATATTATATTAATTTATTGTTTTTTACTTTGGTAAAAACCAAAAAAACTTTGATAAGCATTAGCAAATGATAAATTGTGATCGGAAAATTAAAATTTCTTCTTTTTTACTTGATTTAATGAAGTAATTTCTTGATATATATATAGTTAAAGCTTGTTTAAAAGTATGGTACAATTATTTTTTAAAATATTTTATTCTTGAAAATAAATTAAAATAATATTTTTTTATTTTTTAAAATTTATTTTCACAGTAACATAATAAAATGACCTAGAAAACTAAAACATAATTTAAAATTAATTTTTTTTTTCAAAAATATGGGTGGATTGCAGTGCTAAACTGAGCTTACAAAAAAAAACAGAGAAAGAATATGCTATTGTCTAACTCAAAATAATTAGAAAATTTTAAAAAATAAAGGGATAATTTTAGAATTAAGAATTTTTTTTAAATATCCTAAAAAAAAACATTATCTATAGAAACATATCTTTTATTATTATAAAAAAATAACTTTAAAATTGTCATCCTACTCCACTCATGCAATTAAACAATTAAACATTATACACACTCACACACTAATCATTTATGATTTATTTTTAAGTGTTAATAGAATGGAAAATATATATCTAATTAAATGTTGGGAATGGGAAATTATATAAGAAAACTCAAATAAATAATTTCCTGTTTGTCTTCTTTAATTTTGTGGACCCCACCAGTAGCAACGAACTAACCGTCCATCCTAACTGCCCCAAAATCTATCCTTCATTCCCCAGATTTTACCCTCTTTATACATTTCTCTACGTTCATAAAACAACCAGATCCCCAAATTTTAAAACTAGGGCTAGGGTTTCGTCGAACCCTCAGATCCACACTCAATCAAATGGCACTAAGGAAGTTCTACAGCGAAATTAAGGGCTTGAAAGTGAAGGAATTTCCCAACCATGTGAAGCCCATGCTGTCGCTTGATTACGTGAAGAAATCAGTGCAAAGAGGGATGGATAATTACCATGCTAAGTATATTGAAACAAGCTCAGTTGATCCAGTTTATCATGTTTGCTTTGGTGGCATGGTTTTATCTTACTTTCTTGCTCTTCCTGAGGAACGCCGTCATCTTGAACACCAGCAACATTCTAAGGAGCATGGTGGGCATTAGAGAGGAACGGTTTTTATCGGTCTTTTGATTAAAGGTATCGTCTTTGTGGTGTACTTTGATGATTTTTGTTGATGGGTTCTGTGTATTTTGATTGAATTTGACTGATTGATGGGATAGATTGTTGGGTTTTGTTAGTGAGGATGTTGAAGCTAAAAAGGGTTGAGTTGGGTTGCTTGGTAGTCTCTAGAAAGGAATTGGTCCCTATTGATTAGGGGTAGGCTCCTTGGATGATTTTATTGATGGTTTTTTTTTTAATTATTAATTTGATGTGCTATGGTATGTTTCGGTAGTTGTTTTTTATAGGTATCTGAAATGCAGGTAGTTGAGTTTTTTTGTAATGTGATTTTGTTGGTAGTATGGTTTTTTTGTAATGTGATTGGTGATTTTGTTGGTAGTTTTTGTATGGTTTTAATTGAATTTAATTATAGATCTTTTTTTGTGGGTTTGATTGTGTTTCATCTAGGGATTTTGTTTGTTTGGTTTTATCCGAGAGAATATGGAAGATAATGTGTTGAATTTGTGTTTTGGGATTTTGATTTAGTGAGAGTACTGTAATGTGTGATTAGTTTGTGTTGCCTGGTTCCCCCCCTTTCCTCTTGCTACTCCTACTAAATGAATCCTGGTTTCATGGATTTTACTGGATTTTTACTTTTCATTACGGTAATTTTGACTGGTTTAAATGCTTTGGTTTTGCATTTCATTTTGTCATTTCAGGTTGAGTATGGTAAAAAAAAGAAGTGATTTGATTGGTAGGAGTTGTTAGTGTTGATGCAAAATCTAATGGTGTTTAACAAATGTTTGTTCATTTGGATGACTGAAGAATATGTTCAAGAAGGTTGAGGATGAGGAGGGGTGGGTGGAAAAGAGCATGGTGGGAAATACTTGAGTTTACAGAATTTCATTGGGAATTCTGTGGTTGACAGTAATGTTTATTGATTTTTATCTACATTTTCTTTGCTACCACTTACCAATTTTGAAGTTTATAATCCAGAAATTTTGATAAGTAGATATTTTATGAATGTGTTGTAGACTCCTCTTTACTGTTTTTCTCATGCTTTATTGGATCCTTACAGTATTCTATTGTCAGAGTATTCGCTATGTAGTTTTCTAAGAGGACCTTTGTGTTTTTTTCTTAATTTTCTTCTAAACCTACTTTATGCCCTGCTTATATTACTTGTTAGAATCAGAAGGCTGGAAGAACTGAAAAGGGATTATCGGGGGATTAAAAAATCAGTTTGTATTATGCCAAGAGCTGCCTGGATCATTTTATGGTATCTGTCCTCTACGTGGCCTTATTTCATAGAAGTTATCCTTCTTCACAAACCTATAGTTTAAAGGACATTTTCAGTGTATGCACCCATTTTTCCTTTCTTCACTGTTAAGCCAAAGTACATTTTGACATCTTGATGGTCTTCCTTCCTCTTTACCACCCCTTGCATTATGTGCTCAACTTTGCAAATAGTTGTCTCTGAATCAATGTGTGCGTGTGTGAGTGTGTTTGTATCCCTGCATGTATACATCCCTTATGACCATACGCACACCATTGTACAAATGACACCACTGAACAGTTGCTAATATTCTGTTTTCTACTGTTCTACATGCTGAAGTCATGTGGTTGTGTGATGCATGCGTGGCACACATTATTCTTTCTTTCTTTCTTATTAGTTTGTGGGAATTAATAAGTTATTTCGATAATGGCCTATTTGTATAGTTACAAGGTAGTTCTTTTAATGCATAGGATTTACATGTATGTTTACATGATTTGTGTTTCATGCTCTTTGCTAATAAGAATGCTGTATGAAGTTGGGTTCCAATAGGCATTTTCTCGATGCCAAGGCTTGAGTCTAGCTTATGGTGTTTGGGTGGCCTCATCTTTACTGTTCAGTTTTGCTAGGTGGCGATCCATCTGGTGGTGGAACAATAAAATAACTCTAATACTGTTTCTTTCTCGGAATGGAATCTTCACTGTCTTTGCATCTTTCTGTCCTTTCTAAAATTGAATGAGAAACTTCTGAATGGTTTAGGTCAATGAAACTTTAACTGTGGGCAAGAGGTTTTTTTTCTTGGAATAGGGCTTTTTTGGTACCTTTTCTCTTATTTTCTTTTTGATGGAAACAGGATGCTATGTAGTTTTTGTGAGGGGCGATATAAATCTGTACTCAGAACTAGTACATTTCTTTTTTATATCGAAATTATTTTAGTTATTTAATGAATGTTGCCATACTTCTCAATCAGAAGAAAACTATGTTTTATGAAATTCTTCATAAATATGTGTTTGTATATTGTTCTTTTTCAAAAATCTTTGGAACTATGTTTTGGTGTGATTTTGTGCTACATTTCCTCGACTTTGAGATCAGCTGTGTTGTTCTGCTTAAAATCTCATTAAGTGAACCGCAGCTCTAACCAGATCAAAATTGATGTGGATTGTTGCTCTACCTGTGGGTGTTTGTGTCTATGTCTCTATTTATGAAGGCCGACATGTTTTATAGCATTGATATTTTTGCTTATCTTTGCAGGATTTGGTGAACCTTCGGGGAGTTGTTTGCTGACCATTTATTTGCTCGGTGTTTTTTGGTATTTCTGGGTATTGTAGGCAGGAAGATACTGTCTTGCCAATGGTTGGCAGCCTGAAATGATGAAATAAATTACACTTGACTAGTTAAACTTATTACTTTTGTGATCTATTGTTAAATGGATGGATGGTTATAAGAGAAACAACTGTGTTTTCGTTCCCTTTTATTCTAACCACACTATCAATTACGGGTTCATTTTAATTTCCAATTTAGGATGTTGATTTTCTATGTGCAATTTGACTGTGTTATGCCTTAACATGTAGATACCTCCATTTTCAAGCGGCTGGAGCTAATTTCGTAAGCAATTTTATGGTGTTGGGGCAACGCGCCTTTATAGCTTAGCCATTAGACTCGTTCTTCTATTCTATGGGTATCTCCTTTCACTTTCTGGAACAGGAAAAATGGATTCGTGGCGATCTTGGTCTCTATGATCATCGTCAAAAATAAACGAAGACCAAGCTTAAGAGGCAGCTCGTTTGTTTCCAGCCAATACTTTTCTTAAAAAAATAATTTTTTTTTGTTTTAAATTTTGAAATTATTTTAACATATTGATATAAAAATTAAATTACAGCGATTGAAAAAAAAAATAATCTTGAAACTGTGGATAGGTTGTGCAAGGGTAGCCGCCGCTCCCCTCAGTGAGACCCTTACCTTATCTTAACGTCTCTTTTAAGTTAATGGCTATCCATTTAATTATATTTAGGGCCAAAAACTATATAATCAACCATGAAAGAATAGTCATTAGTCCTTTTCTTTGCCCCTCAACGCTAGCTTTCCAGCTTGTTTAAACTTTTGCTTCAAAAGTGAAGTACAGACATCTCTAGCTTGGTCATATGGATATGGAATCATTAATGCCAGAGCGGGGAAGTTTTCCCGTTTAGTATTGAAATTAAATCTTTTTTTTAATTAAAATTTGATTTTTTATTTGATTTTAAATTTATTATTTTTATATCATTTTAATGTAATAATAAAAAAATAAAAAAATATTATTTTAATATATTTTAAAACAAAAAATAATTTTAAAAATAACTATTAGGCTAAACAAACAATACAACATGCTCTATAATTTTTTTTTTTGATAATTAGAGTGTTCGTGTCAGTTTACACGCACCACGACTAATTCCTAGACCTATTGAACATTTTACAAACCTAGTAGGCAAGTAAAGCACCGTAAGAGTGACAGACTGGTGCACAGAGAGGATCGAACTCGAGACAGTCGCAAAGCAAGCTTTGCAATTGACCACTGAGCTAGATCCTTAAATGTAACATACTTTATACTTGATCAATCTAGATAATGCTCATATACGAAGCTATTATAAGACTAGAAAAGTAGTTTCGTTGCATTAGGATCCATTTGCTTTTAACATTTTAAAGTAATTTTTTAAAAAAATTAAATATTTTTTTTATTTCAAATTAATATTTTTTTATGTTTTAAAATTATTTTAATATGTTGATATAAAAAATTATTTTTAAAAAATAAAAATATATTATTTTAATGTATTTTTAAATAAAAATTATTTTAAAAAATAACCGTAACCACCCTATCAAACAACTTTTTATTAGTTCGAATATTAAATTCATGTTCATAAAACATGCCAACACAAAAGGTATTAAAATTTTATTTCCCTTTCTTTCTTTTTCTCACTAGATAAATTAGTCCGTACCCATTTTTTCTCACAAGATAAATTAGTCCGTACCCATCCATTGCAACTACAAAACCAAATGAAAAATATTAGACATCTAATTTAATTGGTTAGATTTTAATTTTTTTTAAATATTATCAATTTAAATACTATAAATCTTAGAATTACTAAAATCTTATCTAGTGATTAATTTAAAAATCTCAAAAAATTAATCAAATTATATATAAACTAATTCCAACACACGGTTAAAAACAAAAAAAGAAAAAAACATACCCAGATCAACCAAAACAAGTAATAACATAAGCAACATAATTCGAAGGGTTATACTGGTTTTGAATGATAAGCTAGTTTGTTCCTTATGTGTCATCATTACGGTTCAAATCTAAAAGGTAAATCTTGATGCCCGGAAGTTAATTGTTCTTAGTTATTACTTTGAATTGTTAAAACAGGATATTAGTGTAACTAATTGTTGCTACCTTTTGGACCAGTAATTACAATTAGTCAAAGAAACAGAGACTTTAGAAGACTAGCAATCGTATAGGAAGATGGAGAGGGTGAGGGGAGGCAACAGAACTGAGAAACAGCCACCTCTTTGCAAATCATTCATTCAATCATCAAATAAACCTTTCACTTCACTTCCTTTTAAGCACCAAATCCCAGATGTCAAATTTCCAGTTTCAAAACTTTGGAGCCTTTTTTAGGCCTCAAATCAATCAAGAAACCCTCTCTTTCTCTGTCTGACTGTCTTATAAATACACTGTCTTTTATTTTATAGTGTAGTGCAGGAGGCAGAGGTGTCTCATTCTTTTGTTTCTCAGGTACCCTTTTCTTTGTTTTTGCTTTTGAGCTTGCTTTCTTGGATTCTTTCTTTCTTTCTTGGGCTGTCATTCTTTTTATGTTTAGTTTCAATGTGAAACTTTCTTGAGGTATTGATTTTGATTTGACTTCTGGGTTCTTCTTGAATTGTTCTTGTGGTGATTATAGATTGGTTTCAGTGCTAATGATGTTTGCCTTCTGGGGTGATTTGTTTGTGATGTTTCTGTTGGTGATCATGGATGATTTTGATTTATGAATCAATAATTTGTTTCTTGTAGCTTACTCGTGTTGGAATTAGAGTTGAGAATGTAATTCAGTGATCACTTCCAAGGATTTTGTTAATGATTGATCATGGATGACAGTTCTTTGATTTGAAATGCATGATAGATTGACTCTTTTCAAAAATTTTGTCCTTAATTGTCGACGTTGTTGGTTTTGGTTTTGTTCATTGGTTTCTTATTTATTTTCTATAGATGTTTGCATCTTAAAGAAGATTAAAAGAAAATTAAGGATTCTTTTCATTTTACTGAATATTGGACTTTACATTTTCTTTGTTTATGAAGAGACATTTTCAAATTTAGATTTACTAATACTGCACAAAAAGTCAAATGTATGGTTAGTTATATTAGATGAAGCATGCTGAAAAAGCTGACTTTTATGGAATTCAATGGTGGTAGAATTTCATGTTTGTCTTGCGTGAAACTAGAAGTGAAAAGTTGTGGAAACTTTAGAATTATCTTTACGGTAGATTTTGAGCTTCTTCCTTGTTTGTGAGCAATAACTATGTAACAAAAAGATTACCTATACATCTATAGTGTATTTTCAGTTCTCACACATGAGATATCATTATGGGTGATTCTGGAAAGACGTCAAAGCTGCAAGACTCGCACAAATGTTCACCTTCTGACACAGTGACTGGGTCGTTGCTGATTAAATCCTTGAAGATAAAGAAGGACAGCAAAATGTCTCCTAGAAAAGGCCAAAAAACGAAAACAAAATCAAAACCAAAACCAAAACCAATACCTCATCTAAAATCTATCATCAGTTCAGCTGTATCAAAAAGAAAAGTTTCTCCTAAGGGCATTGGGAATGGCTCTACCAGTAGAAAACTGATTCATAGGAAAATTCTGCATAAAGCACTTGATAAGAAGGCCTCAAGAAAGGGAGCTTCCTCAGAGCTACAATTGTCAACTATTGATTCTAAGGGAAATGGAAAAAATGGTGATGAAGGTGCAATTAAAAAACTCAAGAAGAGGAAGCCTAAGAAAAGGCAAAGGGACAAGGTAAAGCTAGATGAACCATCACGATTGCAGAGGAGAGCAAGGTACCTGATGATTAAAATGAAGCTGGACCAGAACCTTATAGATGCTTACTCTGGAGAAGGCTGGAAAGGTCAAAGGTAAAAAGATTTTCTTACATATCATTCCTTTGGAAAAATAAAGAACTCTTCTTAGCAAAGTTAAGCTTGTGATTGCAAAACTGTGATTTAAGAATTCCATCTAAAGTCTAACACTCCTTAATCTGTGAAATTGATATATGTGAAAGAGAAAAAAAGGTGAAATAATTGTCTTCAAACTATTGATCAGAGATGGTTCGTTTTCTTAAACCATGTCTTGTAGAAGCAAGTTTAGTCGAGGAAGAAGTTGGATGCGGAATGAATATTGTTTGCCCTTCTTTCTCTTAGTCCTTATCATGAATTATTAGGAGCATATATTTGAACATGTTACCAGATTTGAAGCTATCTGAAATATTTCAAGGAAGTTCTGATCATATATTGCATGAGATGGAATATTTCCCTACTGAAGTTGGGATGTAGGATTGGCTCAAAGACATTTTCGTTGTAAGTTTGGCCGAAGGAATCTGGATACATTAATCTTGTTTAATTTTTTTATCTGCTTTTGCTTCTATTTTAATTTTCCTTTTCAATCATTTATTCTTCAAAATTTTAAAATCTTTTACCTGATCTATTCTTGGAATAATGAATGATTCCCATTTTACTACATGCATGATACAAAACAAAACAAAACACAAAGAACTCCGCTGACTGTAAGTTTGAAATTGATAGAAGCTTCAAATGATAAAAGAACTATGTTTGTTCTTATCTTTTACTGAATTTCTGCCACAGTCGAGAGAAGATCAGGCCAGAAAAGGAACTTCTGCGAGCAAGGAAGCAGATTTTGAAGTGTAAACTTGGATTACGTGATATAATTCGGCAGGTGGATTCTCTTAGTACAGTAGGATGTATTGAAGAGACAGTTATGGCTCCAGATGGATCTGTTTCACATGAACATGTAAGCAAGCACAAGCAGCATCATTGTTCTGGAAAATGTGAAGAATTGTAAAGCATTAAACAAGAATTCAACCTTTTTGACAAATTCTTGCTAATAAAGACTCATACCCGGTATTTCCTAAATCTGGGCTGTCAGTTCTCAATGAGCATACTCGCTTCTTGCTTCTTACTTTCAAGAGCTGAAAAGGGACATGCTCATTCAGTAATTGGGCCATGAAATTGGTGGAGGCACAGAGATGGAAATATTTTCTAAGCAAAGTTGAAACATGCTTATTTTTCTCAACATCAATTGAAAAGTCCCTTTTTTTCTTCAAATTTGGATTTACTGATATTGCATTATCTTGGGCCTCAAGAAAAATTGGCTTAGTGATAAGCTAGTAGGAGGCCCTTGACTTGCTTTATCTTGTGTTATTATTTACTTGTGTCGTTATGTTTATTTTTTTCTTTTCCATCTCTTCA